CCGTATTTATCAACAAAGCAAACAACTGCATCTCACGTGATAACCAGCCAACGTGACCAGGCTGTCACAATAGATTTAGAAGTAATTTCTTTGTTCGACTAATCTTCAGGTGAAATAAAGTTTTTTCTTGATATTTTCTGCCAAAAAGGCATTGTTACAGACCTCACTGAAACGGATAAACCAATAAGGCGGTTAACTCCGAGTCGGGGAAGTCGGGGAGTCGATTATCCGGACTGCACGAGGCTATATATGAAGAAGAAACTTAGATTATACGGAGGGTGACAATGATATCTATAGACACCGTAGATGGTAGAATGAGTGCTTGGCTATCTAAACGAGTGTGTGTGTCCGTATATGAGGGATCTGCCGGCCTCGGTAATCGGACAAACTATTGATCCACCTCGACTTTCATCACTCACTGCATCAATCTCACGTGATTATGCGGGGAATCAAGGCAGAATCATTGGGTGGCAGCAAAAGACAAAGCGCAGGAAAAGCAGGGATCAAGTTGATAACCAACAGATGTCACGTGACCACCTACTCCCAATATACCCCAGGAGGAGTAGCTGAAAGAGTATACACCCAGGCACAACCTGATTGGATCGACTCAGGATATACTCCCTAAGGAGTAGATGGGGGAGTATACTGGACAAGATATATAAGGACACTCATTCATGCACCTAGTTTAGTTCTTCGCAATCAATCTAGTTAATCAAGCATTGGTTACCTTCTAGTTTCTGACTCGTCCGCACTTAACCAACAACCCAGCATACGTGCTCGGTTGGCCTTGTTTCTCTATTCGTTACCTTTACCGTTTCTACTTGTTGATTATCTTACGGAGCCTGGAGGGGGCTATATACCTTCGACGTGATATACAGAGGACCTGGATGGTCATTGAGCATATGAGTGCTTGGAAGACACTTAGGGTAAGTGTCCTGTCTCGAAATACAACTAACTAGAACCCTAGGTACGATACGAGAGAAGCCAGGTTGTGACAGGCATTTCTTGTCACGGGCTCGGAATAGTAGAAAATGCTTAGGTATATTAGACCTTCTGCATTTATAGTATTTCTAGTATCTCAAATTACAGGTGAAGTGGTGGTAGCTACTAATAATTTAGATACTAAAAGCAGACCTTGGGTGTTACAGGCGAAAATAAATATTCACTGCTGAAGCGTACAGGTGTATCCTCGACCAAGAGAACTACTCTCATGGAGATTGATTTAGGGGAACATTTGCCAAATTATAATATCAAGCACACCTCAAAGGATCTGGCTGTCGCAGTCTAATACCAAGAAAACGAGGTGTTGATCAGCTTCTACAGGACTCAGTAAGTGCTAAGTGCTGATATAATTCTTACTTTAAGAACACTAATAATGTTTGTGACGACTCATACATGACGGCTCAACACTGCAGCAATGAATGATACATCGCAAATGCTGCTACTCAACCATGTCGGCAACAACCTCTATAAAACTCCTTCATTACCTAGATAGATTTCCTCTTCTCTTTTCTTCTCCAGATTCGATATTCTCGTCGATGGCTACAATAGTCTAGATAGGAATTCAGTTCGTTATTATCTACTATTCCGAGCCCGTGACAAAGGAAAAGGATCAGAAAGATTATAGAAGGAGACTAGTGCCTCAGGAGCTTATGGGGATAAAAGACTGGAATAACTACCAGCCTCAAGTCCACGAATAAGGGTCTATTATAGCTCTAGGGCTTGGTATGTACATTAAACTTGATTAAATAATAATAATACCTAGGTAGAATCCATGAGTTGGATGTTCCATTATCCTAGTAGAGCGCCATGACACACAGGCCCTACTTCTGAGCTTGAGATGCTACTTAACTCTACAGCCCCTGGATCATAGCATTTTCAAACAAACAAGAATAATGATGAGAGCTTACACAATATCTAGAGAGAGGTCAGTGCTGTCACGGAGCTCAGCCAGGTTATGGAACATCAACTCATGTGTTCTACCTAGGTAGCTATTGACGAGGATAATTGACATGAGGAAGGAAGAAAGGGGGTAACGCCATATTTATAGACAAAGCAACAAAGCAAACAACCACATCTCATGTGATAACCAGCCAACGTGACCAGGCTGTCACAAGTGCTTATTTTTATATCTTGGATGATTATGACTAACACTGATAGCAGGTCTTGTTCATACTCCCCCAAGATTCTTCTGGAAAGAACATGAGCTTGAATTTCCAGCACTATCAAGCCTCGCTCGGGATATTCTTTCTATCCCAGCTAGTGGTGCTGGTGTTGAGTGTCTCTTTAACTCTGCTCATGATATCTGTCATTATCGTCAAGGCAACCTCAAACCTGATACAATCAAGGATCAGATGATATATATGTGCACATCAAAGTTTGAGATTAAACAAAAGGAACTAGATTTGATAAAAGAGTATCTCTCAGCTGGTGAAATTACAGGCATTGGGGGGGGGGGGGGTAAGCCCTGTCTCAGCCCCAGGAAGATTTGGAACCAATAAGCGACAATGAGGAAGATGATATACTATATAATTCGCAGCCTGCAGCACCTAGTGAGCGTGCCCTAGGGAAACGACGTAGAAGCATTTCTTCTGAGCCAAGCAATGAGATAGGCCGTGAGCTTGATGATGATGATGATGATGATGATGATGATGATGATGATGATGATGATGGTGATCATCCTATACCTAATATATCACATGAAAAGGATAGTACGCAGGCGCGTTTAAGAAGGGTTCAGAAACAGCCAAAGATGCCAACTGGCTTTGAAATTGATAGATACTAGTTCCAATTAGAAGAATTCCAGTAAATTGAGTCATGACAAAAGTTTTCTTCGATCCAATATCAATAGATATAAGTTACTCAACCAAAAGACTTTCTTACAACTACAATATCATTTAACACCGCCAAGAATCGCATAAATTATGTAGACACAGATTTGTCAAATTTGCACTGTTTAAATATCCGCACGGATATGAGGATGTCAAATGCTATCCAAATCTGCAAGTTTGCGGATCGTGTCGCAGTCTAGGGACAGAAACCAAAAGGCTGCTTCTTCACCAAGCACGCAATGTTCAGTCACCTGAAGGACAACATCATCACGCGGCTGACCTTATAGTGCACCCTTTGACAGCCAGTATCATAAAAGATTCATGAATGGGCTACATCAAAATCAGAGTGCGGTCGATTACATTCATACTAGATGCTAAAGAAATTAATTTCATTTCCACTCACTCTCAACGCGTATATCCTCTATAGACAACAAAAGTCGCTTTAATCCTTCTTCCAGTGCATCCTTCCTCACAGTGAATGTGATTCTGAACCAACCAAACTCCTCTGGTGAATATACATGACCAGGAGCGATCATAACACCGTTCTCCATGCAGATATCTGCCATTCTCAGCTCACGCTGCTTATATATATGAGCATCAGGAGATGTCGCTCTCAACGCACTATAATCAGACTGCTGCCGAGATGAGGTGGATACAAGTAAATGGCGTAGGTCTACCCAGATGAATAACCCCGCGTTCCTGAAGCGCTGTTAGTTCGTGAACAAGCCAGCTGAGCAACGCTTGATCTTACGTCTCATAAAAGGGAATGCCGTTATCTGATAGGAACGACGTTGTGATGCTATAGTGATCTGCCATGAGATTTGTCTTTTGGAGCATAAAGTCTGCCAACCAATGCGTTTCTTCCAACATAGCAGCCCAAACATCTTGAAGAACATGCGGTGACCAAGAGAAAATACTAATTGCAAATTTCAGCATAAGGCAACTGGGGGGTTCATAAGTGTCGACACTAACCCAATGCTGGACATTGCGCCCATGATGCCCTCATTCTTTGTGCAGGCAAAACCGATGCGCAACCCATTGGCACAGAAGTCTTTGCTTGCACCGTAAAGCACATGCATGAGGACTGGATCGATAACACCTCGAAGGTCCAGTGCGAGAACTGAGGTAAATGGGACTGGACTTGGAATTGCGGGATTCGAGAAGACTGAATTTGCGTAGATCTCATCTGAGATGAAATGTAGGCCATTTACACCACAGAAAGAAGCAAATACCCGCAGCGTTTCGGGAGGCTAATGCTAAGTCAGCTTTGAGTAGCAGACAGTGAGGGATAGGGCAGCAACAAACATAACATCTTCCAAGAGGATTGTGTGGGCTTTTCGAATTTTCATGTCAGAATGCTTTACCGGGGCAACAATGAGAGACACTTACTTGGAAACCATAAGAGCGCGGACTGCGATGCCTTCGGTCTTTGCTCTACGCAAAGCAGCTTCAAGAGCTATCCTGGTTATGTCGGGATGAAAGAGATCATCGAGACCCGAAAACCCGTCTATTCCTTCGTAAGTGACACCGACTACTTGCGCATTGCTCCGATTAAGAATGTCAACATTGAAGCCGTTGTATAACGGCTGTGGAATCAGTATTCCATCCCCGTCATTGCAAATCGCCCAGGATAGCGCATCGATGGCACTGGCCAAGCCGGGGGTGACAATAATGTTGTCCGCCGTTATCACTTCCCGAGAATGAAACGCCTCGGTCAAAAACGAAGCAGCAGCACGACGAAGCCGCCGCGATCCACGTGGACCAGTGCTGTACGTGAGATGCTCCAGAGGCTGAACGTTCATCTATGCTCGTCACGAATTAGCGGGGTTAATAGGCAGGTTTTTTGGGAAAGCAACCTGTGAGATGATAAACTCGGAAACCTCCTCATGTAGAAGACTATTCTCAGCCAAGCGAAGAATGACACTACACGTACAGAATCTGTTAATTGCTACTCGAACGTAAACGCCAGAAGAAAGCTCACGTTCCGTTGGGATTGCTCGGTGACCATGGGTTTCCCATGGACTTTTCACGCGGGCCCCAGACGTCTCGAAAGAAGTTGTTAGCACCCCGTATTGACAGACGATGTTCGTGCAGTATTGCTTGAACATGTTCCTCGTTGAATGTCTCCATGTTGATATCAATCTGGATAGTAGAAAACAGTGAGGGTCGAAATCTCTGAATGCCTTTGGCGAACTCTTGGAGCTTCTCGATCGAAAATATGGCTGGCTTCTATATGGTAATGGACCCTCTGGTAATTACCTTCTCTCCGCCATTGGCATGGGAAATCGTGCAGCACGCTCTTCGGTAGTCTCAAAGGGAAAACGCTTGAGAGAGCGAGGCAATGGCGTGGGTCAAGACGGGACGGATGAAGTGGGGCGAGACACCTTTGACCTCGGCGACTTGATGGAGCAGGCCATGATATTGTATGCTGCAAAGGCCCTCAATTAACCACATAGATAGCTAACGGACGGGAAAACATTGGAACTAACACGTCTCGGTGTTAGAATCGGGTGAAGGTTATGGGTGATGGTTGTTATATATGTACCATAGTTACTTAGGCCCTCGGCTTCTTGGTTAATGGTCCCTTGTTAGTCTGATACCAGCCACATATCGAGGATATGGAAAGTTCTATTATTTACTGTTTTCTACTACGCCAGTGCCTTTTAGCTGAAGCGGCTGGCGAGAGCCCCGTAAAGTCGAGATGTCTCCTTTCCTATTGGGTGCTATATAATTATTCATGCTCGGTATCCACTGACTAGTTATGTCTATAAAGTGAGCACAAAGTGAGCAAAACTGGTCTTCAAGAACCTTTTGCCACCATACGGGAAATCAAGTCTTCCATCCAGTATGGCGGCCCCCAAGCACACTGACGACGCGATATTCCACCGACATCAGGAAGAGACTGACTGTCTCGACGACACCCTCAGGCTCCCCTGCAATATCCCCAGCCCTAGAAATGGCATTCATGACGTCCTTTTGGATTGTGACCAAGACCCTTTGTGCCCGTATAACATGCCATGCTTACAGAAATGGGTAATCGTTGTTCTTGTCTGCACGGAAACATTATGTGTGTATGTTGAATCTCCTGCTGTGAATTCATCTTCAATCCCAAATTCGCCAGCTCGGTAACTGGTAACTTGGAAAAAAGAATATATTACCTGTTGCTGACCATGTCATAATAGAACGTGTGCAAGCTCAATTTACACAACAAGCTACACGCAGATGGATGCTGAGTTGGACTTATTGTCCATGACCGCAACTATTGGATTATCATTCTTCATCCTGGGTATTGGCTTAGGACCACTGCTGACTAGCCCCCTGAGTGAATGGTACGGATGAAGACCGATCTACCTAGCCTCATGGATTTTGTTTATGATCTGGAACATCACAACGGCCGTTTCGAGGAATATCCAAACGGTGCTAATCGCTCGAATCCTCGCTGGGTTTGCGGGCGGTATTTTCTTGTCCGTCTTCGGAGGAACAGTAAAGGATGTCTTCCCCCTCGATCAAATCCAGATACCAATGACTCTAGTCTCCTCAGCACCCTTCATCGGACCGTGTCTAGGTCCTTTAATCGAAGGCTTCATCAGCTACAATGCAGATTGGAGATGGAACTTTTACTTTGTGATCATTTGGTCTGCGTGTCTCCTGTTGGGCATTATTTTCTTCGTGCCGGAGACATATCACCCCATTAGACTGAAGGCGAAGGCAAGGATAATCCACAAGAAGACAGGAGACGAACGTTACAAAGCGCCTATCGAGACTGCCCATACAGCAAGCAGTAACGCTCTGGTGTTCTCTCTTCTGCGACCATTTCAGTTGCTATTCTTGGAACTCATGTGTCTGGCTCTTGACCTATACTCAAGTATCTTACTGGGCATGTTATACTTATTCTTTCAATCCTTTCCTCTTCTCTTTAAAATAACGTATGGCTTCAACCTGTGGCAGGTTGGTCTCACATTTCTAGGAATGGCATTTGGAATGATTGTGGCTGCCACTAGCACTCCGCTGTGGCACCGACTCAGGGAGCGCCTCGTTAATATACACGAGAAAGAAAGTACCAAAGTCACGCCATAGTACCGGCTAGTACCGGCTGTCGCAGGCAGTGTCTTGGTTTCAATCGGACTATTCTGGTTTGGGTGGACTATATATTCAGACGTACATTGGATTGTTCCGATCATGGGCTTTGCAATCTTTGGGTATGGGTGAGTTCCTCCTGACACTGTTTTGTGTGCTAGACATGGATGTAATAGCTCCTTGGTTGACTTTTTTATTTGCAAAGACGTACTCTGTAACGGCCATGGGCTGGCCCTTCCCAACGGAGCAGGATGTTACTGGTTTTCACTGGGATTCTTACATTCATCGTAAGTCAAGAAGGCCACAAAGAATTGTACTCAATTGTGTTTGACCTCCGCACGTACATACTGATATGTCTTTTGCAGGTCGATGCCTATCCGCAATATGCTGCATCTGCCCTCGCTGGCAATGGTTTCGCGAGATGCTCTCTCGCAGGTACGTGAGCAAATTGGCCATGGATGTAACGTGGCATGAGTCCTAATAATCCGTATGGCAGCCGTGCTTCCGCTGTTCGGAAACCAGGTGTCCACTGGCCTAAGCTTCCATTGGGCAACTAATCTACTTGCGTTTCTCTCAGTCATCATGATACCTCTCCCATGGTTATTTATTAAATACGGAAAGAAACTGAGAGCAAAGAGCAGATTTGCTCTAAGCTGTTAAACGATGTGAGTGTGCATGTTTTGGATAGTGGTCGATTGCATATTGGGGTATCTATCTGGACGGTTGATGTACAACTGCGGTCTGGTAGACAAGAATAGCTTGAATAAAGCCAGTAGATCTTATTCCAAGACTCGAAGACTGTTATATATTGACAATAGTTGATTCACCTGTCGGATTGGTTCCATCAAGGGGCACATATTGCATGGGACCTGCAACATCGTGCAATAAAAGATCACCACGAAAGATATTGTCGAGATACTCAGTCCACAATGAATCATGTACAAATTGATCCGGCGCCTTCCACAAACAGTCCAGCGCATGATGAACTCCTGGCTGCGGACCGGCGTTGCACGTGCAACATGAACTTGGCCCGACATTGCCTGGGGGGTGACGATTCTCGATAATCTCAGGGCCTGCGCTCATCCGCATTGGTTGTACTATGCTATATGAAGGAGTCACAATGCTTGAAGATACGTTCACAATTGATCCACTTGGACTAGAGCCTTGTCCAGTCAATCTTTTTATCAAATTGACGAAAGACTTGGATATCCAAATTCGAACAGGCCAAGATTTTGCTATCACACTCAATGTTAACATGCACTGTCGCGACTTGTTTTCAGCCAGTTGGCGGTGGATCGAGTCGCTTCGGCAGATCACAATAGTGTGAACGGATAGCGCAGTAAACAATGCCGGGACGCTAGAAAGGGTCAGAAGGTATGCTCATCAAGGAAAAAGGTTGTGTTTGGTCATTACAGATGAATGAGCCCAGAATCAAGCGTCTTGGTGGTTAGTAGATCCTCCGCAAGACGAGTAATGAAATCGGCAGCCCTTCGCGCTTGTATATCCCGTCCAGTCTCTGCTTGCGAAAGATTCTCGATGGCCTTCGGTCGGAACAGAAGTATAAGACAATTCCTATATCCCTTTAGTTTAGCCACCGAGTCATAACTCATCTTGCATCCCTGCTTACTGATAGGAGAACTGTAGCATGGCGGCCCAGAAAGATCCTCCCAAATATTCATCCGCTGCCCTAATGCGAAGTTGTTTTGGTAACTCAGTTTCCCATCGGTCAAGTCTTTGCGCCAGAGGCTCTGTATCAAACGTCTCTAGTGAAGGACGACGAGGGCTAAACTCCCCTATAAGAATGTCCCCAACTGGATTGGCAACACGACATTAGATGGTATTGAAGAATCAGCAGTTTTTCAATGCCAGGAACTCACGTATTATTGCCAACTTCGACATTTCGAGAACATAGGAGACATGGTATTCTCTTTGGACTGGAATAAGACTTTGGTCAAAGCCAATATCGATGGTAAAATCTTCTTCCGTCAGAGGCTCAACATCGCAATCCTCGTCTCTGATTCGACAAGGCCGGCCGAAGGCCGCACAGGTATGCCTATCTCGGGTCTGGGGAAATGAGAATTGGGAAATATAGAAAGGAAAGTGGTATAATTTACATAAATAGACCACCAAATGCGCTTTCGTAAGGATTTCATCCGTGGACTCATCGCAGAGTGTGGCATGCTGCATGGGACTCATTAGCAAGGCACCCAATCCAGTCGCTGGTCTGACTCACGAGCGATGCATTCCCAGAGACTGCGCAAGAGTTGTGGCACACCCAACCCAGTAGCATGTGTCTTTCTGATCATCATAACTAGCCCACCAGAATCCAAGTAGTAAGAGCACCGCCACAAGATTCATGCGATCATTCTCGTAGTCGGCATCATACAACGCCTTTGCACGGAGGTAATGTGTCTTCCTTGCCGTGCACCGGTCACTGAAACCAGCTGCGCGGACCAATTCATCACTGCCCATGGTGAAACCAAGAAGAGCGATGGTTTGTAAGACCAACGGAGACGCTCGACCCATAGAATACGATTGCGTGAATCTCTCTCTGTCAAATACAGGATAAGCTGGATGGATTTTCTCAAAAAAGGTACGAACCAGTTGATCAAGTACGTCTCTGGCCGGCAGGGTCAAAGCTTCTTGTAAAGTAACCGTTGCTGGGATGTCATCAGTGTAGTTGGTTTCACACCGATTTGCGATTGATGCGGGTATTGCGTGAGGAACTCGCAGAGGTTCCGTTGAACCACCTTCTGGCCTGTAGCTCAGCTCTACAACGTAAAATAAAGTGGACGACTCGTCTATATGTTCCTGATGCAGAGCAGATTGTATGTGGATACCTGGAGGCTGTTGGGCTGCGTGTAGGTGGTTGGCTTCATCTCGAGGCGAATCGCGGCCTGCCTTTCCATTGCTATGCCTTTGTGTAGGACCATAGTGACTGACATCACTGGGCGAAGAGGGCAGAGTATTGCGTGTTAACTCGGCAGGCGAATCTCGCGAACCTTGGCCAGGTACCCAATTACCAGTTATATCCCTCGCTCGTTGAGACTGTCCGGAGGCACGTTGGTCTCTCGAAGCATCACGCCCTTTCCGAGCATACCTATTGCAAGGTAACCACCTTAGCCCCGCAACAATAAGTCCAGAGAAATTACCAACATACCTGCCCCTCTTGGATTCGATCAATTCACACTTTGTTTGGCGCATGCGGCAATGCCAGCACGGCTGTCCGTCGCCCGCATCGCATTTGACCCGCCTCGCATTGCACGCTTTGCAGGCAACCCGGGTTCGGCGAAGAGGCGTACTCGGCATGTTTGTAGTCTCTGTTAGGATAAACCATTGCCGAGGTGTGTTTTTAGGTCTAACTAGACGCCGCAGCGTTAAAATTGTCAAGCCGGCGAGGGGTTATGACTACTCGGTATTTGGCGAGGGCGAGACGGAAGAAACCGACGGCTACTTGGGTTCGGTCCGACGTGACACCGCAGAGGCCGAGGTTATCAATGTTCCACAATCAGACACTGCGTCTTGAACAAAGGCTAGTTTGATCTTGTTTAGTTTAAGATAGTAGCGGTATTGTCATGGCCTCTGACATAAAAGCCACACTCATGGTAGCATCAATGCCGCCAAGATCGCCGGCTAGTCTGGCATACATGAAGGGACTGTCAACTTTTCGAGTGGAAGACTCGCATAGATGCCGGTCCTGTGCATCCCATTCACTGAGTTGCTTTGGAAAGACTACCTTTGACGTTCCCTAACAGTAAGGCAGATTTAAATTTAATTCATTCTTTGTACATCCTATAATTACTCCTAATGCAGGTCTCACTCTAAACTTTCACCCGCAGCGTCTGCAACAGCACCGACGACTGTTGAGACCCCAAAGAGGTTTGCAGTATCACCAGTATGTAGAAAAGCCACGTTAGCCCCAGAAGGAACCTTTCCATTACACACATGATCTAGCAGGCCCGCGAAAACCTTTCCCGTGTACACTGGCCCCAAAAAGTCTCCGTCGGCTCGAGAGAGCTCGCGAATAGCGGCAATGCTGTCGGCATATGGCACCGCATAATCGTCACCGATAAACTTCTCATCAACATCGATCTCAGCATGGATGGCCTTGTCTGATGGCACTGGAGCGCCCAAGCGTTCGAGAATCGCTTTGACGCGGTCGACGACAACACTCGGGTTGATATGGCTTTGGCTGCTATATGAGTTGATCGCGATGGATCTGAATTCCACAGGATGACCCGTCATGAATTTGGCGGCTAGAAGGCCTGGCAGTGCTGTGTCAGTGCCAGCAGTATGGTAGATATAGTCAAGGCTCACACCCTCGCGCTCAGATTGCTCGATGATTTCCAAAAATGTAAGGAGATGAGCAACAAAGCCAAGAGGGTGAGTGCCTTTCGTCGGCACAATAAGGGTGCGGTGGCCTTCAGCTTCCAGATTGGCTTGGAGTGTCTGCATGGCTTTTTTGTGATGCGGTCCGAATCCTCACTTGCGTTCCAGTAGCCCCCGGTTCCAGTCTTAAGGTAGTGAGTCTCCACGCCCAGAATCTGCGTGAGTAAGAGATTGCCCCTATACTCCTCAAGTCGGCCGTGTCGCTCAGTGTCCCGCGTCAGGAAGAGAATTGGCGTTATTCCAGCTACCCGACAAGCGGCAGCGAACTGCAAGCCGGAATTGGTGAGGTGGACGCCTTGGGTTATGACGTGGGTGTATCCCTGCTGTCTAGGGCTGCCCAGAATGAACTCGGCAAGACGCATTTTGCTTCCGGAGTACCGGGTCCAGCCAGGTCCTCGTGTTTCATGAAAATGTTGACACCATGGGTCTTCGAAAGGTTCGTCACCTTATGGAAATGGCGTTGGATAAAAACCGATGCAAGCGCGGGGAAGCTCGGCGATGCGGTCACGTAGTGTATTTGGATCCATAGTGGTGGACATCGTGAGATGCGGACATGAAATAGAAGAAGAGTTAGGCCCTGCAACAACCAGATAGGCATAGTTGATGGGTAGAGTGAGAGAATGGCGAAAGTGCGAACTGCTTCTATATGAGTTTGGCTAGCGCTGTTCACTGATTTACCAGAGACTGCGGGTGATATCTGTCATTATCAAAGAGGTTGTCTGAATGCCAATACCATTCAAAACCTAATTGTCACGGCGCTCTACTAGGATAATGGAACATGTTGATTATTCTCGTCGATAGCTACCTAGGTAGAATCCATGAGCTGAATGTTCCATTATCCTAGTAGAGCGCCGTGACACACATGGTTAAATGCTCCTTTTACATCAAGAAATAGCGCTCCCACAAGCTGCTGGAGTTTCCAGGCTTTGTGGGTATTCTGTATCAGATATTCCACTGCATCAATTGCACTTCGTTGCTTGCGACTTCCCATCTGTCCTGGGTGTAGTACTCCCATAGTCTCACAGTGGTAGGCAATTGCATCTGCCGCTATCTTCTCAACCACCTTCCCCCCGAGGCTAGTACTGTCGATATTGCGTCACTGCTAATGGTTTCATCCATCTGTCACTCCATTTCCTGTGGCTATTTATTCATTTAATCAATCAAGTTTAAGGTCCATACCGAACCCCGAGAACTATGACAGACCGCCACCAGGATGGTAGGCTTATTCAGTATATTCCGTATATTCATTTTTTTTTTTTTTTTTCAACATTTTTCTTGGCTGTTCATAACCTTTTTCTCGCCCCGATCCGCCTTATCTGCGCAGGGCATTTGGCTTTCTGTGGCTAGTGATAAGGAGGAATCCAATGACCACACCAGGGTTGCCAAAGTACCTTAATCAGGCCATGTCAGAGCCCTGTAGACGGAGAATCGGCCTACCGTGATAGCGTTCTGATCTGAGGCCTGATCAGCCGGTAATCGTTTCACGCCGCCAAAACAGATTAGACTACTACTGCGCCGCTGGCAAGGGAGAAACTAGGACAAGAATGGCATCAACAATAGTGCCTAAATAGCCTCGTCTAAATAGCCTTGTTATCTGGTCCTGCGAGTGATTTCAGCATCTCATTGAGAGTTGCGCACTCTGGGTCAACAATATAATTGGACATGTCGATCTCAGGTCCCAAGGTGCCAAAACAAGGCTGTTCAGCGACATCAAAACCGTCGGTAGCTCCTAAGTCCGAGAGTAGCGCATCAACGCCGGTACTACGGTCGTAGCCGAAATTTCTCGTACCAACAAACTGTGAGTATGGCACGTCGAGCTTGCTCCGATGTTGCTGATAAGTGGGATCGGTGGGTACGTCTGGATAAGGCACCTTGGACGCAGTATTCATGGAGGCAAACTCATCTAGATCAAAGCCATTTGGTACTATACGACGGATGCAGCTGTTGCAGAGTTCAAAAGCCCAGCGTGCAGAGCCGTCCGTTTCCCCAAGACAATATAGCCAATGTAACGCTTTCTTGACTGCGGTACGAATAGCTTCGGAATTGGCAACTTCAGACTCCTCCAGCAATTGATCAGTGCTCGAATCACTGGTAAAACTTTGGCTCCTCGGCTTTCTTGACGGCGAGCAGTCAAATGAAATGTTTATGATCAAGATTGCAGTGGCTTGAACCAAGAAGTGAAGAACATTCCACCAGGGGGCGTAGCAAGCCCAGACTGGATCTGGCTGATTTGGGAAAATAGAAAGAATCGCTAGAGCTGAGTGCAAGCAGATCATCTCAGTCTCTTTCCTAGAACGAGAAAGGTATTTTTTGTTGCCGCTCTTCGCGTTCTTCGGTCGGGTAAGACAGGGCCTGTTGAGGATGATTCTGGAACTGTAATAATGCATTGCCAGAGAGACTCTATAGGCGTCCCCGATGGAAAGAATCGGTCCAGCGCTGACTACCTCGAACCTCAAGCTGTCTGGTAAATTAGAACACCACCCCTCCATTGTCTTGTTGTAGAAGCCAATACGGCTCTGAATATGACTCCATCCCTGCCTCACAGCATCAGTGTTGTACACGTGGGCGGATGCGGTGTGCGAGATCATAACTAGATCTGCTAGGCAGAAAAAGTATAGCTCGTTGGTAGCATCCATTGACCTCATTGACGCTTGTTGGGCTTCGAGTTGCTCGCGTTGCTGGTGTATTGTCCACTTCATAGGCGGATTCTCAGATGGCCGTTCTAGGCGGGCCTCCGGCGCGTTACTGGTGAAACATTCCATACCCTTTGAAGCGAGGGGCGGGGGTGCAGAAAAGAGGCTGTTTCCCAATCCAGAAGCCCGCCCTGTCATGACAGAGAGAAGGTTCTCTAAGATGAAGATCGACCACCAGAGCTTATGCCGAGCTTCAAGGGCTGAAGCGTTCAACTTGTTATGCGTAGCTCGGAGATGTAGACCCAGCGCGATGCTGGAACGAGTTGCTGTGCCAATCATCTTCCATGCCCTGTGGGAAGTCAGACGGTCATACTGGATGGGGTGGTCTACTTCTCAGTGCGTGGCGTACCTATTGATCTGTGAGGAAGTCAACAAATAGAATGCTGCGAGCGTTTCCATCTGCACTTGCTGCAAATCTTCGTGGTCCTCCACTAGACTCTCAGATATATTCAGCTTCTGTGCTCGGGAGAAAAACTGGTGATCCCTGCTTTGAATATCTTGCCCGGAAATCTGACACAACTTGCTACTAATGGCGAAGACTAGGTTCAGCACAGCCAACCATTTTCTCCCAGGATGTATTGACTCGCCTGAGTACAAAGAATTAAACTGGTCTGTGAAGAGGGCCTCGCGGATAATAGGTAGAGACGGTTGCACGCTGTCCAGGTACAGCCTAAGTAACCGTTCTGCTGGGGCTTTTGCCGGTAGGGAGTAAATATTATCGTCTTCTAGACTCGGGTAATCAGCAGATTCGATATGGTTGTTCATCGAGGCCATGGGTGCAGCCATCATGGGCTGAAACTTTCGGTGATTCTCGAAGTCCCCTTCGTCGCCTAGTCGATCCCTAAGTTCTTTTTCCAAACTTTGCAGCCAGGCAGCTTCTGAACTTTTGCCAAGGTATCCCGTAGCTCTGCTATCTTTGCTTTGGTTGACGTCCTCGTCGAGAGTATCCAGAGCGTCCAAAGAGCCGACGGAAGACGCTGAGGAGGCACTAGAGGGACTGCTTGCCCTTTCTTGTGGCACTTGCCCTCGGGGTGAAGGCCGCTAGACGACCAATTAGCGTGAATGAAGTCTGTGAAATGGCTTGAAACAAACCAATGCTTTCATGATCTTTTTCGCCAGGGGTAGATCAACTTCTTGAGATATCTCTCGAAGCAGTCTATCATAGCGATCGACTTCCTGGTTCGCTGACTCCAACTCTCTCCGCTCCTGGATTCGCTTCGACTCAGAATAAACGCAGGACTCCCGACCCGCGCTGGCGCACAGGCTGCACACTGGCCTTTTGCCATCGCATTTCGATTTGCGCGCTCGACATTCATCACAGGCACGAGCGATGCGACGCGATCTTTGATCTGTGTGCCGATTTGGCAAGCGCCGGATGGGGACCCGGTTGAGCATCGTTGTGTCTGAACTAGTAGTGGATTCCGTGAGGACTGGTGATTCTATGCAAAACACACGGGTCGGTTGATCATCGATCTGGCCCTTGCATTAGTTAAAAGAGCTAGTACGTAGAACCTGGAACTGTTGTATATGTCTCTAGGCACACTTACCCTTCACTTCGATTTTGGAGGCTAAACCTAGGTCAGTATTTGCCACCTGTTCCGGTATGATGGCTACAGACAAGGGAAGGCATCAGAGTTGGATACGTCATGGCGGGTACGACGGCGGGTACGACGGCGGGTACGACGGCGGGTACGACGGCGGGTACGTTCCTCATAGGGACACACCTCACATCCGGCAAATCTTCGAGTTCGGCCAACAGCTTTTTCTGTGTCAGCCCATCCTTTGCTAGTCGTTGCGGATGTCGGAGGGATTTTCCATTAGATCGAGACACTTTTATTCCCTTTTATTCTTCTTTTTCCTTCTTTAGCAATTTAACATTTGTATTCGCAATTTCTTGTAAAATACACCATTAAGGTCACACCCGCGTTATGTAAAGTACGGGGTCTGGGCTTGAGGACCGACAACCCTGCCGTATCAAGGCCAGATATATTGTTATTGATCGATTTGAATATGCGACGATTGTACGAAGGGAAGTGATACGGATTGATCGGATAAGTGGTTGGCCCGAGTAGCGAGGCCAGGAGATTCTTATAGTCGACGTGTGCACACATATTGCCGGGCCATTGACCCAGTGTCACGGGCTCGGACCAGTAGATACTAATGAAATGATATTCCTATCTAAACCAGTGTAGCCATTGACTAGAATATCGAATCTGGAGAAGAAAAGAAACTAAGAGGCAAGTCTATTCACGTGAAGAAGTCCCTGTTAGAAAGAAGGGATTGAGACAGCGTGATGAGCGCACTGAGGACTATATGCGTAGTGTTCAAGAGACTAATCGCTGGTGTCTAAAGTCCAACCACCAGCGCCGCAAAGTATTCTCGCGGCGGTCACATGACTGGCATTAGTCATATGACCTGTTATCTATGTACATGAATAGACGATGGGTAATAATGCATAAGTCCGCACTGCGGAGGTCGCGCTGCGGCCTCCGTGCTACACAAGTTCTAACAGTCCCATATGGTTGTGTGTGGTCTCGCTAAGCAGCTTGTTTGTCTTGATTGCTTCCATGGTATTGTTTGCCGTGCTAATTATGTTTGCTGATGAAGGCGCTGGGTTGAGTCGTTACATTATTCCTTATCAAATATTAGCCAAATAGTTTATTTGTGAACCTTGGGGAAACATTTTGCTTACTATAAAGGCTCCAAAGTTATCGATATGATCTCCCCGGCGGCCTCAACGCATTCAAAATGATGGCGGAGCAAGACCATGTGTACTGGCATGGGCTGGCTATTGGCAAGATTGGGGCAGACTGCACTGATCTGGGGAAGGTTGGAGTCGTTACCGGCCACTTTATGTTTTGGTCTGAAGAGAAAGACACTGGAAGTCCCGTATACACTAAGAAAGACATGCAAAGCTTTTCACACATACTGCATCTGGACTTTCCAGCCAAGGTTGTCGCGCAACAGCGTCAGCTTGATACAAAGAGAATTCGCCCATCTTTTTCAGTCAATCACCTGCATAGATAGCAGCAAACTGAAATGACTCAGTTGCGTTTACGAGGGCTTCCTTTGTCCAAGAACTATATATAGGCTAATACGCGATGGATGTAGTTTCGAGGCACGTGCATAGTTTGGCAGAATGGGCTCATGACGACGCTATACATCTATAAACAACTCACGGGGCACGTTCAAAATATATATTTCTGAACGGCTGTTGGTCTCTAGGTTGGGCTTTGCATATTTCAATCCTTTCCGAAAGTTGTTTGCTTTTTGAAATTTTAAGTTATGTTCCATTCTCATCCAATCTATGGCCTTCAACAGCAGCTCCATTGGTACTTTCAATTTTTATCAGAGCTCTGCGCTGAAGTTTTATCAAGCGGAGGCCGATTTACGAGGAATCAACAGCTGGCACAGTCCTTCAACGCTGGTTGATGTGCCCTACTTGTTGCATCTGGCAGGCTACCTCACTTGCAAAGCCGTTCATGAATCGAACCCCCCTTAAAACTCCACCGGTAGCCCCACCTGGGCAACACAAAACACCCTAAACATCTCGTTTCCAACGATGAGAGGGTCAGTATGTACTTGGAATCTCAGCATGGTGAGTATCAACACCACCTACACCAGGTCCAGGCATACCGAGATCGGCGGTCAAGAGGCATTGCTCCCCTGGCAGCCGATATCGTTTGATGCGCAGTCTATAGTGCACGAGGGCTCCTATCCAGACATGCAGCCCAACTGGTTTGCACCCCCCATATACCGAATGGATCAATATGCGGATAGTGAGTTCGTGGATGGACAGCTGAAAAGCAACACGCTGTGGCCGACACAAGGAAGCAGCACAAACTTCTTCGAGTTTATGTCGTTGATGCCTAATACTGATAGTAGAACCTGTCCTGATTACTTGATCCGGAAGGTCTCGCTCAGTCGGCGCAGCACATGTACACCCAATATCTCACTCAACTTCTGACCTTACTCCGCCATACGCGCAAAACATGTCCATAGCTGCGACAACTCAAACGGTGCATGCCAGATTTTTCTATCCCCAGCCCCGGATAACGCAAGATGCTCGCCTAACCTATGTGCTGGAGAGTCTTCTCGCCACCATGGCCTGGTTTCTACTGCGAATCTTTAGTCAGTTCCCTGGAGAACCGATTGTCCCCAAGCCTCCAGGTTCTATCACGGCGAAATATTCCTATCTTGCCAACAGTGCCATAGTCCGGAGGATGTGGAATACACACGCGATGGATACAAAAGAAGTAAGAAACCGGCGAGAGCCTGCCGCGTTGGGCTGGTGGCCAATTTGTGGTGGCGACAACGCTTCTTCATTATCCGCCGAGGACCTAGCGGCCCCGCGCTGGAGATGGGGTGTCGATTCTGGATGGAATGTTCAATTGCAGACCCGGAAGGACGTTCCGATGGCCGTGTCTCTATCACCGACTCCTCCATATTTACCCGAATTCGACTTCTCCGATAGTCCATCACCTATCGCCATGGGTTCGCGAGGAAGCTATAACAACTCCCTTGGTCTTTCCTTCGAAGTCAGCCTGCTCAGCCGGCAATCTGATCGTGCGAATAATAACAGTGACAATTCAGATAGAGACTGAGAGTTAGGACTATCAATTTAACACCAATAAACATCACTTGTTAGAGACATAGATCAAGATATCAAGTTTGCATGAATAACCTAGAGTCATTGTTTGTCTAAGACCAGTGCTCTCAGTGAGCACAGACAATATCATAAACCTGCCTTGTTTTGAACTTCAACTGTTAACACCTTGACAATTGGTTGCTTGCCACAAACGAGAGAATTCGACAATATTTTGCTGAAGTCCTGAAAACTCGTAATCCATCGGCCAGGGGACATGAATCGCTCCGAGATATAGAAAGCCCCGCTTCTCGTAATTCATGAACGATGCTGAAGGATCTCAATCCTTCTCACTTCATTCCACCTATCAAATCATAACATCTATCAGCCGGGTTGCTGATTTCATCCGAGTCAGGAAAGAAAGAAAGAGAAAGGAAACCCTCCTTTCTTTTCCTTCTCGGGCCGGACTGACCAAGCGGAGGATGATGTTCGGGATCTATGACGATGATTCATGACTATATACGAAGGGACACCCGCCCTTTTTGTTGTGCTACTTCTTTCTCTTCTGCCATTTCACCCTTCTGCCTCCTATGGCCGCCTAGCTCCCATTAGTACCATTTATATCACTATCACGCATCATGGTCTTCGGGTGCAAATCCGTGCCCTTCGATCCGGAGAAGGACATCCCGCCGCTCAACGGCAAAGTAATTCTTGTGACGGGCGGCAACATTGGCCTGGGCAAGCAATGCGTGTTAGAATATGCCCGCCACCAACCGGCACTGATCTGGCTGGCAGCCCGCAACGTCGACAAGGCCCAAGCCGCGGTCGATGAGATCCGGCAGCAAGTGCCCAACACACCCCCGATCAAGGTGCTGTCGATGGACCTTTCATCCCTAGACTCGGTAGTACAGGCCGCCCGCACGGTGATAACCGAGTCCGACTGCCTAGACATCCTGATGCTCAATGCGGGGGTCATGGCTGCCCCGCCGGGCCTGACCCAGAACGGCTACGAGCTGCAGTTCGGCACCAACTACCTCGGCCATGCACTGCTGGTCAAGCTCCTGCTGCCGCTGCTGGAGCGGACCGTCGGGTCTGATAGAGACACCAGCGGCCCCCCGCAGGATGTACGTATCGTCGCGGTCTCGTCGCACGCCCTCATTTATGCCCCCAAAGAAGGCATGCTCTTCGACTTGCTGCGCAAACCCGCCGACGACCTCGGCGCGTTCGGCCGCTATGGACAAAGCAAGTTGGCCATGGTCCTCTGGACGCGTCATCTGGCTCGCAAATACCCGCAATTTACCTGTGTGTCCATTCATCCGGGTATCGTGCGCACCAATCTCGTGAACAACGCCACGGGCTCACCGCCCGTTGTCCGGCTACTGGGAAAGGTGGCCAGATGGGGCTTTACCTCAGTTGACCAGGGAGCGCACAATCAGCTCTGGGCGTCAGTATCTAAGGACGTCCAGAGCGGCGAATATTACGAGCCCGTGGGGATTGCGGGGGCCGTCTCGCCGTTAGGAGAGGATGATGCCCTGGCGCAGAAGATCTGGGATTGGACGGAAAAGGAACTTGAGAGATATGTGGTGTAGTGAGCGAACAGAATGCATTGTAATTTTCCATGCTAGATAACGTACGTAACCCACGGCTGAGCTGTGCACTTCTGCACTCCATATAAAATGGCACTTTTTATAACTCAATATCCCAACTGCAAAGTATCTAAAACCTAGTATATGAAGTATTATGGTGCTGAAATTATATACTCTGAGCAGCAAGCTTTTATAAATAGATATCCCTTCAAGTAAAATAAATTATCACTGTATTTTTTGTGATAGTATCGAGCAATATAAATCTATTGGTAGACTATCTGGCGAAGTACTAGCATGGAGAAGAAAAAGTAAGAGCTCTAGGCCTGCCAGAGCTAGACTAATTGATGTGAGAGGACCTCGCCCTAACACAGAAAAAAGGAATCAACACAAAGGGTTCAAACATGTCATGTGACTGAGAAAGTGCTCATGCTCCGTGACGCTGAGGAGCAAATACAAACCTGGAATCTGACGAGGTGATCTGACGAACACGGATAGGGTTCCTGGAAGTGATGGTAATCCGAAGGTTTTAACCACAAGTGGTAAATATTAGCGAATAGGGAAATAGAGCCTATTGAGTACGTATACCCATAGTAAAAGAGTAACTGACGAGTTGATACTAGCCCTTAGGCTTGAATAATTTATTGGACGCGAAGGACTAAACAGTAACTACATAAGCACACGGTAATGAGCATCCTTATATGTGCTTCATTCCTTCAATATTTGTACATGGCTGTGTCGTTAGTGTACCATATACCATATACCGTAGTCCATACTTTTGGTTGTATACCATTCTCATGCCTTGTCAAGCAATAGTCGGTATTGCCTAGAAAATTCGGCACATGTATGAGAATATATAAAAGCACAAACAATATTCTAGTACATATCTAAACACTGTTTTCTCTGATTTTAGCAGTATGCTCTATTCGGTAATAAAGGCATCAGACCCAACAACCACCGAGCCTTTCCCCTCGTCGAGATTCCTTATAAACAGATGGTCTAAACAAGTCCAAACACTGCTCAGTTCTTATAGCACTTGATAGAGCTTGCCGAGCTCTGCATATTCGTCGGGATCTGATGCGCTTTCGGGGAATAGATATCGGCCGTACTATCGCCATTGCACTTTGTTGAGCTACACAGAAGCACAAGTCAGTTAGGGTCTCTCCATCAAAACACAAGCGGACAAAACATACGCCCAGAAGCGACAGCGGTACCCATCAGGGATCTTAACTGATCTGACATTTTCGTTGACGGTACTGCCGTTCAACGAGTCTGCACGCAGTCAATGAATTAGTTTTAATCATGGCGGTTGACTTGGGGGTTTGATAGGTTGAAAGGGGCCAAAGGACTGGGTTGGGTCATGATGGGTGTAGCCACGAACAGCAATCATGTTGAGTGTAAACTGCAATACTAGTGCAGCTCCCCCAGTTCGCCTGTAAGCAAACATCCACATTGATGCGGTCTTCTCTCGCCTCGAGGCCGCGGGCATCGAGCTCGATGGGCTCAGCGCTGGGCGCGGCGGTGGCGACCATCATCTAAATACCAGGAGAAGAATGTTGCGAAAAAGAAATAAACAGTGTGAAGTGCACAATGCAATACGCTGGTCCATAGTCGAAGGATGCTGGCTGCATAGCCGTAATGCCCGGGCCTAGCACCATCTAGTCGTATCCATCCACTGATCGGGCAGTAATAATGCGTATTTTTTTGGTAGGCAGAAGATTCTGGTTCTGATTGGTCATGGCTAATCAAGAGAATTCTCATAAGTCGTCAAAACAAACTCTGCCAATAGATATTGTCAGCCAAAATGACCGCTCGGCCACAAGAAGTGTGAACACACTCATTAGGCTTAAGTTACCGTAAAGTGCTTGCTAAAGCTAACTAAGAGGTTTCATCGCACGGCGATGAAGCCTCTCCGGAGCTCGCTAGATCGGTCCGGTCTTCATTTGATCTTCATCACAGGATTTGTGATGATGTCAACACTTGAGCGGAGCAATAATCACTCCCGATGGATGGACTCTGTACTCCGAAGTATTCTCGATACAACAACCCTGGAGACGGCACTGAGAATCTCTCCGATTCTTGTCTATAAAAATGTGGTAACTCAGCCGGAAATTAATATGCTCACTTATTTTATTCTATTGTCTCCAAGCTCATCTTCTGCAGCTCCAAAATCTCAGCATGGATTCCAACAAAGCGTTGATCTTTGAAAATATTCCCCAAGACTTCCCTGCCCCTGGTGAAAATCTGTCGAGTTTGTTGCCCGCGCCTACGCTCCTAAGAATGGGCTCCTTATCAAATCTCTCTATGCGAGTTTTGATCCCTACATGTGCGGCCGTATGCGCCCAGCCGAGCTCAAATATATTCTCCACCCTTCCATCTCAACAAACCCATCGACGCTTTCGGCATCGGCAAGGTCCTAAAGCCAAACAACGACTCCTACAAAGAGGACCAGCTCATCATCGGCGAAATTCCGATTCAGAAGTACGTCACGCTCGTTAAGAATTCCGCTGCTAGAATCCGTTCTCTGGGGATTCCCCTCGGACTAGAGATCCGTGTCTTCCTCTGCACCTTAGGGATGTCCTGCCTAACTGCCTACTCTTTCTACGAAACCATAAAACCGAAGAAAGACGGTACTATTTCATTTCCGCTGCGAGTGGTGCCGTGGGCCAGAATGTCGCGCAATTGGTTAAAAGAGAAGGCCAAGTCTCGTTGAAAATGTTGACTCGGATGAGAAGGTGAACTACATTCTTACTGGGCTGGATTTTGACGCCGGCTTTAACTATATGAACGAGGAACCTAGTAATACTCTCGCACGTCTCGCTCCACAGGGATTGGATATTTACCATGACAATATTGGTGGCGAGCACCTCGAGGCTACTCTGGATGTCATGTATGATTTCGGTTGCGCTGTTGTCTGCGGTATGGTTTCTGATTTGGACGGTGCTGCTTATCCAATTAATAACCTCCACAATGTCATCAGGAGGCGTCTCAGCATCCGCGGGTTTATTGTCTCGGATCCGGGGTTCGCTCATAAATACTTCTTGGGGCATCAGAGGAACATGCAGCGACGGATCAAAGAGGGCTTTATCAGAACTCTCATTCATGAAACAGTCGGTATTGAAAATGCTGCTGAGGGACTAGTCGGGATCCTTCAGGGAAAGAATAAAGGCAAGACACTGCTGAAGTTTTAGACTGATGCTTGCCTCATGAGACACTGGTGCTTATCGGAGTATTGAAGTAGAAGTCAGTGGACCTTTTTGCATTAACCTAACGCTAATAACATATGCCAGGTGGGAATTTCCTCGGACTTCCAGAAATCAATAAGTCACGTGTTTACAGGTACAGTATAAAAGGACATATCCCAGTGGCAGGGCTTTTGCCGGACTTTGGTTTGCGGATCTTGTCGCAGTCTAACGGAAGGCGATATCAGTTAACTCGGCCTTAGATTATCACTGCCACATTAGGCTGAGTGTTGTATATCTGGCAACATACTCATCATGGATAAAAAAAAAAGTCATATCTGATCAGTGGTCAACCAACATGTCCAATATACAATACATACTGCTCCTCTCAATTTCTCTCATCATCATTTGGAAGCAACCATCAATCTTCGCCAAAATAATCAACATAAAAGATCAAAAGCCCATTTCAACAGATCTTACACGCGTCCCAATCAGCGAATACCCTCTCTCCTGCGACCTTCCCACCACCCGCTTCAATCCTGCTAATGGCATGGTATTTTGCTACCCCTCCAGCGGTGGGCTCTGGATGACCTCGCTTGACGCAGTTTTGCTGCAGTATCTTGAAATTGATCGATTCAACGTTTCTCATCGTTCTAAGGACCAAGCCGCGGAAGATGCCTTCTGCAGTTCACTCCGTCTGTTCGGTGGTCAGTGGGTAAGCTCCTCGCGGCTGAACTACTGGACATATGATGCCTGCTGGAAAATGGAATCATTGCATTACAGTCGAGCCTCCACTACTATTTCGCGGTTCGTTGGGCTTCCTTCAAGCGGAGGGGTATTCGTGTGGGACTGGAAGGGCGAGCCACAGACAATAAAGGATATGAACAAGTTGCGCGATCTATGGAGCAAATTGGATTTGACTTTGTCAATGGATGAATACGCAATGGTGTTGCAGAATGCGGGAGCCCAATATTGTCCTGATGTTGGGAATTGTCCTGCGTTGGAGGATTTGAAATTTGAGCCCGGAGAGTGGAAAAGCGAGATTCGAAAGAGAAAGCGGGAAAAGGAAAGGGAGCAAATCATTTGGTTTTCTTGATTGGCACTTAAGAGCTAATATCAACAAACACCACTAACGGGGCAAATGCTGTCATCCTAGCAAACAAACAAAAGAAAGCGCTAGCGTGGTCACACATGCCATGGACAACACCTCTTTCTCCTGTAAATATCATTCTCTTCTTCTTTCCAGATTCGATATTTTCATCTATGGCTACAATAGTTTAGATAGGAATTCAGTTCGTTATTATCTACTATTCCGAGCCCGTGACAGCTGGTATCACATCTGCATGATATTTTTGTGCTTTATATTCTTCTGGATCAAGAAGATTTAATATAACAATACTTCGGTTTTCGGTGGGCCTACAACAACAATGAATACTGATTTGCTGTAAGAACATGAACCACCTTCAAAGAACTCACAACGAGGGAAATGAATTTATTATAATAGCCCTATCACAGCCCCAAACCATAAAATGGCTATAATTATGGTATCCTCTCCCACTCGCGCAAAAAAGAGAAAGGAACAGACAGACAACGATAGCTACAGAAAGTAGCATATAGGCAGTGTCCAGAGAACACTACACAGTGGAGAGCTGCCTGACAAGTCCGTGTTTTTTCTCAGAAACATAAAGACTGTCATTTTCAGAGATAATGCCAGAGTACAAAGGATTTCGCATTCCTCTGGCCTGACAAACGCTCGGTACCTGCAAATAACGGTGTCTGAACTGCATGTTCAACGAAACAATCAGACACAGGGTGTGACAGTCTCGAACAATATAAATTTATTGGTAGACTCTCTATCGAAATACTAACATGTAGAAGGAAAGAAAGAAGCTGGGCCTGCCAGCGCTGCGCTATCTAGTGTGTGAAGGGGGTTCCTGCCCTATATTCAAACAGGCCAAAGTTTACAAACATCTTGCATTGTTGGTGAATGCCCGTACTCCGTGACACAGGGTTACCTAGGGTGCCAAGAAGCTACATTTCAACCATTACTATCGGTCTTTGCACAATTCCATTAGCGGTCAGCAGGTCAGTAAGTCCGAGGTTTCCCCCATAATAGGGGATGTGGCCAAGAGCGAGCAAATCACATGGGTCCAAGTTTAGGAAGGATGTTATGGGGCTATGGAAAGGAAAAAAGAAAAGAAAAAATTGTGACAGTTAGTTGAGAACTTAAAGAATAATTATCCGTACTGACTCAGAGTCGGAGCAGGGCATATTCCAAGGTGTGCAATAGATATTTCATAGACAACATCACTAAAGTTTAAAACTATGACTGAAGAAATTCAATAATTTCAATATATAAGATAGCAATGCCCGATCATTTGCATACCAAGGACTGCTTTCGTGGAAGGAGCCGTTCATTTATCATTCGATCGAGGGCGATGTAATGGCCCTGGCCAACAGGAAGCTCCTCTTTGAATCCAAAGTCCCTTATCTTGTCCAAGCTTAGCTGTCGATTACAATTCAGCATAGTCAAGCCAGCTTTCACAAATATCCAGCTCGAATCCGAAATAGTTCGCTGCTGGAGCCCATACATCTCACACATCTTCCAGTAATCGGCCTGGTGCTCGTCCCACCATTTATCAATACCGCCCCAGCCATCAATAGTGGGCTCCGTCCCATGGAGCCCGAAATATTTGGCCAGCATAGGCCACTTCATGGACCATGAACCTGGAATATCTGTATCTGCAGTGTTGAATGCTTCCCCATTGGCCTCGCTTGGCTTGACAATGGACAGGTATATTTCAGATTTGCTGATGATGTCCTGTGATGAATCTGTGTATAGACAGTTGAAGTTTTTGCGGCTCCCTGGGAAAGGGACAATAGCTCCCGGTCCATTGACAAATCGAAACAGTGCAAGGTATAAGGCCACCGGCTCTAGTAAGTTCATCCCGGTCTCAGTTGGCACAAAACCTATACTCAACATTAGCATGACGGTTTAAGGTTATTTGGTCACGATAAGCCGCGGTGAGAGAGCATACCAACAATGTTGTCTGGTCGAACCTCACACCAACCCCACTGCTTCCCCTTTGCTGCTTCCTGAATCAGATCCACTTGGGCGTAATAGAATATCTCATTGCTGTAGGGGGCAGGAACGCGCGGGGCCTTTTCAATGAGAGGTGGGTTGATCTCAATCTTGTCTATGTGCTGTAGCACAGCAACGCCGTAATTCTTGTCTGTGGTGTCAGTAAGATCCCATCTTATATTGAACCAAAGATCACCTTACATTCGTGCCGGTTTGGAGTACAATGAACTTAAGACTCTCACATAGCTTGTCTGTGGAATGCACGGCATTATATGTCATTTCTGTATTGATATTCTTGATGTCCATGACATTTTCAGTGTACGAAGTCGCGTTAGAGTACGCTATTGTTGACCATACTAATTAGTGTGCCCCCTGATCAATGGCCATGGTGCCCAACCTACCACAATAGTACATGTGAGTGACCTCATTGAGAAAGGGAATTTTCTCCCTCATACTCTCCAACACATCATCCAGGCTACCACGCAGGTTGATCCCAGAATACAGCTCAAGTCTGTTGTCCTCAGGAAGCCCACACTCTTTCAGCAAGCGAGGACGGTTTGTGAGTGCAATAACACGGTCGAATGTTTGAGTTAAAGGATAGGAAAGGCAGTTTTTGGCCACCGCCCAACCTGAGATGCCACTGGCACCAAAAATAAGCGCAACGTTCTGACTGCTACCCATCCTGCGGTGATGATGGCGTGGTGAATTACTAGAGGAAGAATATAAGAATCGTGATTCTATTCAAAGGAGCTTTGAAGCGATCGTGGGCTATATAATCCATAGAGGCAGTACAATTGCCGAGAAAAGCAAAGTCCACGTATCACTCAAACGACGCGGAAATGCGGCGCGCACCGACTGTCAAAATAACCCATAGATGTGGCATGTGGCCAACTCCAGAGACCAATATGGACTATAATTGGCCCCCCGTTAGGAACGAGGGATAACGGGTTGTTAGCAGGATATTATTTGGATGCGGCGCAGGACGCTAACACTGGCGGCCAAACGGGTTGTAGACCCACAGCGGCATTTCCTCCGTTAGACGAATTGGATTTCAATATTCCCGTGCTCGGAAGTGACATCGCCTGATATCTAACTCGATGGATATAAATTAATTATTACTCGCAAGCATGGATGTGGTGGGATACAATTGGATTCCCACCCTCGCGATGGGTGGCCGAGACCAAGCCCTAACATGTCCGGGATACCTAACCAAGCAGGATGCAAGCTTGGCGAACGGAATGTCACCCTTGAGACTTAATTGCAATAACATTTGTCATAGGTATGTCAGATATTCCTACATGGAAAATGTATAACTTCGGCCGCAATGCCTCGAGCGACAGAATCTGGGAGCAGACAGGCCTCGGTATTTAGTAGACCTCGTAAGGAGTCGCGACTCGTCAGGTTCGATTCGACTCAGAACCGCCAAGATTCAGGGTCAGGTTCCAAGGCCTTGGAGTCGCGATCCGACTTCAGGATTTTTGGAATCGAACCTGGCAGGTTTGACTCGAACCTCAGGTTCCACAAACAGTGCAAACATAGGAAATCCTGTGATATGCATATTTTATGCACATCCTGTCTGTAATTTTGTGTAATTGGTTTACAGTTCAGGCAGAGATCAGAGCAAATAATTCTAGTAGGGAATCAGATGAGAGCTGTCATGTTTCTAATCCTACTTCTAATCCTACTATTCTTTAAGGCTTATGATACACAAACTGATCCTCATCTCGCCTCAGACACTTTGGAACCCGTCCTGATGTTCGCCTCCGAGTATTATTTTCGCCATACAGGTTGCTGTTGTCAGGCAGAGGATTTTCATCCTCGTTGTTCTCATTATTTAGTTCATTCAGTGCCTCCTGGTCCTCTGTAATATCAATCCTGGGCCTTTTACTGGGCACACACTCACTGGGCGGCCGTAGCAGCGGGGATATAGTCACTGGGGCATCTTCCTCATCATCACTAATTGGATTGAATTCATCTCCTGTTTTATGTGCATCCTTTTCTTCCCTTGCTGCTTGGATCTCCCAGGCTGTGAGGTATTCATCAACAAGGGCTAGCTGCTCTGATTCAATATCAAATTTTGATGTACACATAAACATCATAAGATCCCTTATTGTTGTGGATTTGAGAGAGCCTTGACGGTAGTGACATATATCACGAGCTGAATTGAATAGTTGTTCAACACCAGAACCAGTAGCAGGTGTTGTAAGCACATCTCGTGCTAGGCTTGCAAGGATAGGAAATTCATGCTGTTGATCCTTCCAGAAAAGCCGCGGATTGATCAGACGAGTGCCTAGAAATAAGATAAGCAAGGGAGATAGAAGAGGTCAGGGTGAGTAGCATACTGCTTCCAAGATATCATGTAAGTTCATTGTTGGCGTCCATCTGTGGCTGGAAGGCTGTAGTTGATGTGATAAGCATATCAATATCAGAGACCTGATCGGCCGAATATTGACCATTGGATCTAGGCTGTGTATCTGAATATTGCTGTTGGTAGGGCACAAGGCAATCCTCAAGGCTTTTGCGGTATCGTACGCGCCAGCATGGCTCCCAATCCTTGGTTGAAAAGAAATGAAGCTTATTTTGCGGGGCCAAAATTGTACCAATTGCATACAGATCACCAGGGATTTCATCAGTCATGCTATAATACTGGGATAGCTTCAACTTGGCTTGCTTTAGGGCAGATAGCATCACTGTCTTCCAGTTGACCTTCTTTCGTGCAAGCTTTGCCATCGATTTCTCTAGATGACTGAACAGTTTGTTGTAGATACCGAAAATGGTATGGACAGTGATATCCTTACTCTTCGACAGGGTGGTTGTGAAGGTATAAAAAGGCTGGGTGATTGTAAGAAGATAATCAACCTGCCGCCATTCCTCTTGGCTTAGCTGTAGATCATGGCGACTGTACTGCATACAGAATTCATCACAAACAGTTTGTAGCCGCTTAGCACGTCGAAGCATCAGATATGTTGAATTCCAGC